AATTAGCTCTTCAATATGGATATATCAAATCAGTGAAAAATATATTATTTTAAAAAATGGCTCTGCTGAGTTCCCCGAAGCCAGCAAAGCCACAGGTTTGGTTTAAAAAATATGCAGCAACAAATTTCAAAATGCAATAGTTATTGATCTTATGATCGATCTTAACACTTTGTCTTGGAAAATCGTCATAAAATATGCTTTTGATAGATATGCATAATGTATAGTATGAATAAACGCGTATTTCGAGGAATCGTTTCGGTTTTTTTGCGCATGAAACATCGAGCAAAAAATTTAAAAATAGGGTAATTAATTAGCCTTAAATTAGCTCTTCAATATGGATATATCAAATCAGTGAAAAATATATTATTTTGAAAAATGGCTTTGCTGAGTTCGCCCGAAGCCAGCAAAGCCACAGGTTTCTTTTAAAAAATATGTAGCCCAAAATTCCAAAATGGGATAGTCCTCAAGCTTACAATCGATACTAACACTTTCCCTCATGAAATCGTCATAAAATATGCTTTTGATAGATATGCATAATGTATAGTGAATTAACATGTATTTCGAGGAATCGTTTTGTTTTTTTTTCTGCTTGGTTTCTTTTGAAAAATATGTAGCCAAAAATTTCAAAATGGTATAGTCATCAAGCTTACAATCGAGACTAACACTTTCCCTCATGAAATCGTCATAAAATATGCTTTCGATAGAAATACATAATGTACAGTGAATGATGCGTATTTCGACAAATTGTCTTGTATTTTTTCTGTTTGAAACGTGGATAAAAAAATTCGAAAATAGGGTAATTAATTAGCCTAAAATTAGCCATTTGATCTCAATATATCAAATCGGTGAAAATTCTATGTTTTCAAAAATGGCTCTGCTGAGTTCGGCCGAAGCTAGCAAAGCCACAGATTTTTCTATGATAGGGAGGAGCAAGAAAATTGGGAATAGGGTAATAAATTAGCCTAAAATGAGCACTACATTCTCACTATATCAGATATTCAAAAAATATTGTGTTTCAAAAATGGCTTTGCTGAGTTCGGCCGAAGCTAGCAAAGCCACAGATTTTTCTATGATAGGGAGGAGCAAAAAATTCGGGAATGGGGTAATAAATTATCCTAAAATGAGCCTAAAATTATGAGATGTGTCTCATGTTGAAAATCGAAAGTGGCTTTGCTAGCTTCTTTGGTATTCATTATGGTACAAACGGAATAAGGAACAAACATACATTCGACAAAAAAGTTCCCTAATGGGTTATTGTGAAAATATTCGTCAGACTAATTAAGGTTCAGGTCCCTCTTGCTCTTCCCGGACCTGAACTAAACAATTTTACTATGTATTTTTAATAAATTCTACAATAACCCATTAGGGTCTCTGTCTACGGTGTACATAGTACAAGTTTATTGCATCCAACGCCCAATTGAAATTGATCATTTCTAATTCTAGATCAAATCATAGAAAATATCTTGCCATTTTCAACAGATCAGAATAATGACATAGACGACATCATCCGACTGAAAAAAGAAATCAAAGTGACAATAATGTGAGCATCAGAGGTCCTGGTTTCAGTTTATTTTCATCTTTACGTCCACAGTTATGACAATGAAAAAACTGCTGAGCTATACAGGCTGATTCACGGTGGATGGCACATTAGACGTTTCTGGAGAACCAGACAACGGATCATTTTGAAAATTCAATGGAGGGCATATTCGGACATTCTCTAGCCAACTAAAATATTTTCGACAATGCGGTGTTGCCGCTTCTATTAGAAAGCAGTAGCAACTTTGTTATTTTAAATGGAACACCCTGTATTTTATTGCATTATCAGATTCTCTCTGAAGAGCTGATTTCATCGATGCATCACACTTGGGGTCTAGCGGAAATGATTACAGAGATATAGGGTGTGAAAAATCGACATTTTTCAACATTAGGAATTTTTTTTGTCGAAACTATTCATTATTGGTCAAAACGGCTCACATGTCCCTATCTCAACTTTTGATCAACTATCTACTGACATTTAATTGAAACAAATACAGGGTGGTGCAGAATTCAGAATCTTGATCACCCGGTATATGTCCCAATTAAATATCAGTAGATAGTTAATCAAAATTTGAGATAGGGACATGTAAGCCGTTTTGACCAATGATGAATAGTTTCGACACAAAAAAATCCTAAAGTTGACAAATGTCGATTTTTCACACCCTATATCTCTGTAATCATTTCCGCTAGACCCCAAGTGTGATACATCGATGAAATCAGCTCTTCAGGGAGAATCTAAAAATGCAATAAAATACAGAATGTTCTATTTGAAAAATCAAAGTTGCTACTGCTTTCTAATAGAAGCGGCAACACCGCATTGTCGAAAATATTTTAGTTGGCTAGAGAATGTCCGAATATGCCCTCCATTGAATTTTCAAAATGATCCGTTGTCTGGTTCACCAGAAACGTCTAATGTGCCATCCACCGTGTATCAGCCTGTATATAGTTTCTTTTTTCGAAAGCACCTTGAATCAAATACAGGAGCCCCCAATTCCAGAAACCCCAACCACCAACTTTTAAAGGAAGAATCTTGAAACTTAAATAAACTCCAGGAATCTTGATTCAAGCGTCACTATACCGGGTGACACAAGGTATCGGGCCACCCCTGTAACTTCTGCTTTCGTCATCGGATTTTTCTGAAATTCGGTACAGTTATATAAGCAATTATTTCGGATTTGACCACATTACAATCCAATATGGTGGACTTCCGGTATTTCTGGAAATGCCAGCAACTTTGTTTTTTCAAATGAAACACCCTGTATATTTTTACATATTCAAGTTCAACAGGTCGAAACAAGTGCAATCTTTATTTCAAATAACATTTTTTCGAAAAAAAATAAATTAAAATTGTTTTTTCATTTTACCTCGTGGATGAATGAGATGTGGTCAAGACTATTCACAATGAGTCACACAGAACAGAAGAACATAATTTTTTCTGAAAAATTATTTTTTGTGTCACTTATCCAGGAATCAATTCAGCCACATCACTTTTTGATCAAAAATTATTTTTTTTCAAATGGAACCCCTATGGGCCACCTACCCGTCTCTCTAGAACATACATTAAGGAACAAAATGACATATCATTTTTGTTTTTCGGTGCAGTAACAAGCTGTATACATTCAAAAATCAACAACTAGTTTATGAATTTCCTTGCAGTTAGAATAATTTTTTAACTAGGTACGCTGTGGAATAAATGACATTTGACATAAAGATTGCACTTGTTTTGACCTGGTCAACTTGAATATGTAAAAATATACAGGGTGTTCCATTTGAAAAACCAAAATTGCTGGCATTTCCTGAAAAACAGGAAGTCCGCCATATTGGATTGTAATGTGATCAAATCCGAAATAGTTGCTTATATAACTGTACCGAATTTCAGAAAAATCCGTTGACGAATGCAGAAGTTACAGGGGTGGCCCGATAACCTGTGTCACCCGGTATAGTATACAACCCTATCAAGATTCTTATTCTTTGGGAAACAAAACCCTTATTGACATTCAATGATAATCTCCAATGAATAATTTGGAATCTTTGGCTGAGTATCTGAGAATTTGACGGAATGAAAAATGTTTCTTCAGCCAATAAATTTCGCGAAATCAAGGGTAAAAGTGCACTTATCATGCGATGGGGTATTTTTCGAAAATTTTTTTTGGTACTTACGTATTTTCGTCTGAAAAACACGAATTTCATGATGAAAATGTGAACAAACCACTATTTATCGAGATATTTTAAGAAAAAGTTCGAAATTTTGCCTTCTTCTTCCCCTTGTGTTGGATGCATTTACACACTCAGAGAAATAGTCGGTAGTGAATACCAAACGTTTAGTAGAATAGGCGCCAGTCACTACAGTCATCAAATTATACTACTACAAAGTTGTACTATACTAAACTATGAGTATTATACTATTTTGTAGTGGTAATATTTGATATAGTATAGTATTATATAATGTTGTAGTGGTATCATTTGATGAAAGTTGTGACTGGCGCCTATTCTATACTAAACGTTTGGTAATAACTACCATCTTTTTTTTTAGTGCAGGTACTTGCTCTTATTATTTTGTCATTGGACACTTTATATACTCATGATGTACTTCACTGACACATTTTAAGATAGAAAATTCAACAGGAAATATGATTTTTATGGCGAGTTTTTCCTATTTAGTGAGCAAGCATACCATCAGATGACGGCTATTTAATCCATAATTATGCAATCCATTACGAGATGTCAAATGTCAATAGATTGCTTTGGAATGACATTACACACGCCATTATTTCAAATGATATTCTTCCTTCTTTTCACTAAACATGGATAAATCACAAGAAAATCATATTTCCAGTTGATTCATATATTAAAAAAAATGTGTCCAACATTTTGTGATATATACAAATTGTCCAATGATGGAAAAAAAAGGGCAAATTGTTCTAAATGTGATCCAGAAGACAGGCGGAAAAGATGGTGAAATTTGTAACTATATAGTGAAATATCTCGATAAATAGTCGTTTGTTCACATTTTCATTATGAAATTCGTGCTTTTCAGACGAAAATACGTAAATACCAAAAAAAATGTTCGAAAAAAACCCCATCGCATGATAAGTGCACTTTTACCAAATCAAGTACTTGGGACAAGTAAATTGTATTAGGTGCCTTAAGATCCTATTCCTCCGACGAATACTCGTTTCTTCCCAGTAAGATATTCTGACGATCTTATAGCAAGAGAATTTCGATGGTTTTTGAAGTGAACTTTCAGTTGGCCATATCCAAGATCACATTTTCTTTGATTGAAGGGCGTATTTCTTTGAATGAAAGGATCCTTTTTTTTTCAGTGTATACCATAACCCGATTTCCTGTATCGTTTCAATTTAATGTATATTCTAGCGAATCTGATAAGATAGAGACATATACAATAACCCGATTTTATGTATCGTTTCAATTTCGTGAAAACCCAGTATATTCTGAATAGGTACCTAGTGGAAGTCGGTGAGCCTTACCAGCAGCAGATCTAAGTACAGCCATGGCATAATACACCGAAAGGACGACGAGGACGAGGTCGAATAGCGAATAGCGAGTTTTTCTTGTCGACAGAAGAGAGAGACGGAGCACGCACGGCACCAAGTTTTCACCCCGTTTACGTGTGCGGCATTCGCACTGCACCTCCGTATCAACGGAACTGAATAGAAATACTCCTCTGGCACATCTGGCTCAGAATGGGCAGAAAACATTACCCTTCACAGTTCCACACACAGCAGCCAGTAGCAGTAGCAGCAGCAGCAGCGCACTTCACCACTTTCAGCACTTCGGATGATGTACTGCGGCCCAACTTATCGCTAATCGCCGCCATCCGCCATGTTAAATGCGGCCGAGTTTGATTGATCTTTGATTTGTAGGAAGGCGCTAAACGGACATGACGCGAAATATAATAAACTACTCAACACTAATTTCGTCGCACACCAAAATGTCGCCCCTGTTATAATGTGAATAACTATTTTCTGTTTAGAACAATTTGAATTTGGTTCACACTGTTCGATAGCCCAGTCCTTCAGCTATAATCTCGTACTTCATTGAAACATAAGGGTATTCACTTAAAATCTCTACATGGTGTTTTCCGACACTGTGCAAAATTTCGGAATATTCAAAAGGCTCTCAAATGGTGTAAAAATTTTTTTTCTCAACTTCGACAACAGAGGCATGAAGATGATCTCATTACCTCGAGATATTTCGCGAATCAACTTCCTATCTCTCATATTTACAGAGAGATCTCAAAAAATCAACTTTTTGGTTTTGCAGCCATAACTTTTTTGCACGTCAACCGATTTTGGAAATCTTAGGCTCATTTTGAAGATGAAACTTCAGATGAAGAGATCTGAATATCAGAATTGAATGGTTATGAAAGATCTAGAGTTTTCTTGAAAGTGACCCAAATCTGGAACGCCCTCCAAATCTCGGTTGGGAGGAGAATTGAATAAAAATCAACTTGTTCCCGGAAAAACAATTCATTCTGGATGCGTCCATATTTTCCTTGTTCTCAGTAGTCAAGAATGTGCGTGAGAAAACACAATTGAAACATGTTCTTCAGTGTTCAGTGTTCCATTCAAAAATGTATACATCTTGCCCATAACATTTTTTTGAGATGTTCAATTGTTTTTCTGTTAACATATTCAAAATCTACAGGAAACTTTATAAAAGACTTTTCTTTGGAAAAAAAATTCGATGATGAATAGAATAGTTAAGGGAGGGTTCAAAATATACGTGAAGACCCTGTACATCATGCAACTGGAAAGTACCGGTCTCTCCTTCGCAAAATGGAGCATTATCGAATACCGGACTCTATTGCATTAAAATAAACTGGCGTAATCAGAATATGGCCACTGAGGGGGCGGTAATGGCAATACCACGCCGGTATAAATTTCAGCCCCTACCAGCGAAACGTAATGGTGATACTGTTTGCTGGACACTAGCAAATGAACATCACATGATGAAACTGGCCAATAATCGTAAAGTAATATCCCAGATGAAGTGTGGTCACTAGATAGTTGATTCAGAGACATCGACAAGCACATTTTGTAATTTGAAATATGAAAACCTATAATAGTTATACATATACAGGCCACAGGGTGTTATAGAAATATAGTTATTTATTATACAAGGGAAAAAAGTTGTAGATTTTAGCTCCAGGTTGTGTTGTCTCCCGACGCGTAGCGGAGGGAGACAAAAAACCGTGAGCTAATATCTAATATTTTTCCCGTGTATAATACACTATTTTTTTCTGACAGAAGAAAGGACGAATCAATATTGAGAAAATGTTACATTATTTTGAAATCTGAAAATTATCGACGTGAAATTTTAAGTTTTTAACAGTAGGGACACCTGCGTTCTATAGGCATCTTTATATCATTCTTTTGAAGTAATCAAATATTTGATGTCACTTCTGTCAGTCTAATTCTGTGATTTTATTTCAAAAAATTGCGAATTTAGTGGTTGTTTAGTAATATACGTAACCGCGAAGTCGAATCGAAGATAAGGACTTGCAGTTCTTTCTCGGAGACGGTATTATTGACTCATTTTTCGGAACTATAGCACAACAAAAGCCATCAACAGTGTATATATATGTGATATATATCCGGGAAAAAAGTACTCACTTTTTGTCCACGGGAAAAAAGTAATTTATGTAAAGTGACATTTTATAACCTGCCAACAGAGATGAAATGCCAAACTTTTTTCCCGTCACAGAAATAAATACATTATACATAATCATTCCAGATTTTTTTGTGACTTTTGCTCCTCGTTTCTATAAAATAAAAATATGAATATTATTTCAATATACGGTAGTGAGAACAAATCAGATGATTTGCCCCAAAATGTCACTGCGTTTAAAGAATTTTCCTATCAGAGAGCCTGAAAGAAAAATTCACTAGCTTGTCAGTGACAATTTGTATTGAAAAAGGTTTGGAGAAGAGAAATAAAGGTATATAGAAAAAATATCAAATTTTCACTTAGCTTTGGACGTTTCGGGAACGAATCTGCTCCCGTTTTCAACATAAAAAATGGTTGAAATCTGTCTATATAATTTCGGAACACCCATCGATATATCGATAGTTATCGACATGTATATATACTTTATTGACGTTATCTTTGTTGGTTTTAGAAAAATATAGATTTTTTTGTATAAATAAATCCAAGGCAGCTGTAGGACGCCAGCAATCGCAGCATTGTCGTCTTCATATTTGCCCATTTAATCGTTATTGTAAGACCAATATGAAGATAGCTGAGTAATAGTATATAATTCAACGAGCGCCTAATGATGGCTATTACCAACGAAGATGAAAGTTGCAGTACGAGCCAGAGGCGAGTGCTGTATTCATCTGAGTGAGTAATAGTCATTATGTGCGAGTGGAATACTATACTTCTATACAACTATTCAAATATCAAAGCAACTCTGAGAGTTCAGAAATATATTTTTGGAAATAATGAAGGTTATGATATTGCAAAATCACTAAATCTGATTTGAAATACTCATTAAAAACTTATTGACATAAATTTCAATCAACGAACAGATGTAACTTATTTCAATAATTTTGATTGTGAAAATATGATAAACAGTGTTGGATCTAACTTTTATTAACAGGAAAAAAGTCGTGCAATCACATATCCGTCAATCCTACCCTACCAGGTATTATATGCCATTTCAATTTTCAGTTGTAAAATGAATAGTACTATTGCAGACTATTCATTAACTTGCTTCCGCTGTAGCATTCCCCCACCGCGATGATTAATTGTAGTACCCTGTCTCTAGACGCTAGTTATCGACAATGACGTTCCATGGTTCTGATTGGTCTGTACTAATCTATTCGAATAGCCCGCACATAAGTGTGAGCCAATCTGCAACTGTCAAGTGTCAAGTCCTATTTTATGGTTATGTTTACTCATGATGATAGTCACTGTTGAGAATGAAAAACAGTGAATTCTCATTTTTCCATGTATTTGTAGAATTAAGGTGATTAAAACTATGAGAACCATGTAAGGTGAGTCTTTTGAATTCCAGTGTATTTAACAAACAGTAGACTAGTGGTGTGCTTGAGTATAGAACTAGTAGAAGGAACACCTACCTAGTTGAATTTGACAAGACGCCATCCTACTGTCATTATTACTCTTATTACTCGATTCATCACAATAATGTCATTAAATGTTGAAAATCGAGTTAGCGATGTATGAATGACTCCATTGTGGTAGAAAAAATATAAAACCATTGCTGCTATTCCAAATACCTATGCTAAAAGTTCGCAAATGTGAGTCTCGCCAGTGGGGCCAGTTGTGCTCTGAAATGAGAAAACTGTTACAGAAGCCGACCAGAATCCAAGATTGTTATCCTCAATCCCACAGGAAAATCAATAGCCGACTAAAATATATTGCGACATATCAGGCAGGGCGTGTCCCGAACAATCCCAGGACCGTTGATGTTGGAAAAAATAAATCGACTGGCAAAACAGATATTGCAATTTGAAACGTAGATTGCAACAAATTAATATCTACGGAAAATAGTAGATTGCTTTATTAGGATAGAAAGTTAAACTTTGTTTGACAACGTTCAACTTTAGTTCCTAGGAACTAAAAGTGTTGCCTAGAACATACCTATGTTTGTGTCAGTAATAGGAATAGGAAGGTAGATACGCGCATAGCTCAGAACATTTTTTTTAATGGGTATACCAACTGTTCGAAGTCAGGCCAGCTAGTGTATAATGTCCGTTTAAAGGGACGCACATTCATGTCATTACCTTTGAACGTTTTATAATACCAACCAGTTATTTCGTTTTTGAAGTTATGTTCAATGATCAGATGATCAAATGCTAATACGTATTATGTTATTTACTATTTGTTTGGAGTGTTTGGGACGCATTTCAAATGCCCCTTGTTGTATATAAAATTTAAACAATGTAATTCTGGAGAAATGTTTTTTAGGAAAAACTAGTTTTAACTAAAATCAGTTTCTAACTAACGGTTACGATCTCATAATGTTGTTCTTTATTTCTTGTTTTATATACAGGGTGGAGACTTCAACTGGAATAAATTCGCTACTGGGGGAGTGAATGATTTTTCTGAAAATTCGCGACACACGTCAACGTTTAAATGTATTCACCTACATTTGGCGAGCAATATGGAGAATTTAACCCTTCAGAGGTAGCAGGAATCTACCCCAACATGTTTTTTTCAAATGCAACCCTATGGCTTGCGACCACTCATTGGAAAGCTGGTTGAAAGAGGAATCCAGCGTACTGATCATATTTCAGTTTGCAGTACGTTTGGGGGTCGCATGAAATCAAAATATAATTTCGAAGTTTGAAATGTTTTCAACGTACTTTCATAGAAATTTCGACTTTTAGTGCATTTCCACCAGTTTGCAATAACACTTCGTTTCGAACTGTGAATACCGAGGTGAATACTGCGAAAAAACTAAATTTATTTTTGCGGTTCTATAAAAACACTGGACTACAATAGAAGAGCATCATTTGTATCACAAGAAATTGCCATCATCAATATTGTTCAACATACATTTTGAGCGATTGACATGTTGAAAAAAACATTAATTTTGAAATTACATCTCAATGCAACCTTTAAAAAACTAAAATTTGACTAGTATGCTGGATTCATCTTTCCACCAGCATTTCAATGAAGGGTCACGAGCCATAGGGAAAAAACTAAATTTATTTTTGCGGCTCTATAAAAACACTGGCCTACAATAGAAGAGCATCAGTTTCAGTTGTAGCAAAAAATTGCCATCATCAATTGTTCAACGCACATTTCGAGCGATTGACATGTTGAAAAAAACATTAATTTCAAAATAAC